AACATATTATAAAGAACACATACAAAACAACCTGTATATACGGTACAGGAGAATATATAAAAGCTTTACCCCAGAATTTAATTTAAAATTTATCTTGTTTAAATTTACTAAAATACAATCTTTAATATCAAAATTATCGCATTCTTTCAGGATTTAATATCATTAAATTATATTTTTCCAAAAAGAAATAAGATTTAATAACATTTATATATAATATTTACACAATTGAAATGTTATTAATCGTAATTTTAAACATAAGTAAACATAACATTTATACCGTTTCAAAGAAGCGAGAATTTGGCATTTATCCAAATCGACTGAATGTTAAAGGGCAAGGAACTCTGCAAATACTTTAGTTCTATTGTTATTTATAAATGAGATTAAGCTAAATAACCCATTTGTTAATAAATTTAATAAATTATGTAATAAAATTTGAAGCACTTAAGGTTACCACTAGAATTAATTTTGTATAAATTTCTTGTTGATTTATACGAGTGAATTAATCAATTTTATATATTTTGAAGGAAAAATAGCTTTGGAATTTGACTGTCCAGAAATCTGATTAAAGATTATGTGAAAATGTCGAGAAATCTATACGTGGGAGCTTACGTCGCTGCGCCAAATGTCAATATTCGATAAGATTCTCGGCACTTAGTGCCGAAGAATAGTAGCGGATGATTCTGACGTGCTTCGAGTCGTGTACTAGTCAAACTGGGTCAAAAAGTGGCATAACGACTCATTATACAGGTTATACTTATATAAATTGTGTTTGACTTTTTTATAAACGGTAATTTATGAGTGATTTTATGCTCGCCATTGATTCGTAATCACTTGTCAATTGCCTTACCTATTTTAATTTTTCCACTTGTGTTTTTCTTAGTAGATAAGTGATGTTTTATTATTCTCAAAGTTAGTTAATGCGAAGGTATATATAATAATAATATAATTCTGCTGATCTGGCAATGGTGTGCAGTGGTGTTATTACTACTTTGTCGTATCGCATGTTTGTATCCTGTTTTAAATGGGGATATTTGTGTTTATGTGACTTTAATGAGGATTGTTGTGAGGGAGTGTGGTGTAGCTGCTCTACTTTGCAGTGTTTTTAACTAATAAAAACATTTTATGAATGGAATCGAAGTGGTTTAGCTTAATTCTTATTAGTAGTGGAGGCTTTTTAGTATGTTAATTATCAAGTAGAAGTATTTACATCTCTGCCACGAAGTTATGGGTCTTGAACAGTTTTATACTTCATTGACAGCAATTTCCGCTGTTAATGAAGTATAAAACTGTATAAAATAACCAGAAATTTTATTTTAAAATGTCATTACGCTCCTGCACTTTCCTCGAATTTTACTATTTATTGAACAGTCAATATCGGGGATATGCTTCACTTGCGAAAGCATACTTATAACATAATTAGCCTTAATTTTAATCATTCTGAATAAATTTACTCGTGTGTACTAATTAAAATAGCAGCTGGTTGTTACATTTATTTATTAATTAAATATCATATGTCACCAGTAAAGTTGAAAAATGAGGATAGAGACGTAAAATTTATCCTAGAATTCATAAATAGCGAATGAGAAGCAGATAAATATATTCAGATATAGAATAAACTTGCATTAAAATAGTATATAGAATGCTTACAAAATGCATTGCGAATAAAAATGCAAGTTATTCCCGATTACATCCCTATAAACGACGAGCAACAGAGTACATATGCATTACTTTAGATACATTTTAAGATTTTTTTCGTTATAAATAGGTCATACGGTGACCGACTTGATCTTTTTTTACCATCAGCAATCAGAATAGAAGCTACCCGCAGCTACGTTATACCTGTCTAATCAGGTTTCTATACTCGTTTGAGATTAGAACAGAAAACGATCCAGCTAACACGACCCATTTTTAATGACAGCCTTTCATCTTTACATCCTGCTCAAAGTATTCTTTTGCTCTTTCTTCTAAGCTTAAATCTGAATCTCGTGATTTTCGTATTAGTTCTCTAAATATGTGTCTCGTAATCAAATTTTGGCGGCATTGCACACATTTATTTCATATTGAAAAAGTTGTTCCATATTACAGTTTCATCTCTAGATTCACTGCCCTATTTTATGCTTTAGTACATCACTTAAAAAGCTTATTGGTGTCATCTTAGATATCTATTTATATATTAATAAGTATAAATATACGTCTTTAGTTATATTGCTGCAGCCTATTGAGTCTGATTAATAAAGGCAATATACTTTTAGAAAGAATGATATCATTTTAAATTATTGTAATTATTATCCGTGAATTTCTCGGCACGTGCGCCTCACAACACATGCCAAGCATCTGACTGATATTTAAATTCTTCCTGTGCTCGTAACGACATATCAGTTGTCACTCCTCCCGCAATTCTATGGCTCCTGCAGATGATCACTCACATTGCACGGTGACAAGCAATTTTGTCTTTGCGAACTACAGAACTCAAAAGTCTTCTCTGTCGTCAAGTTATCATTTATGTTTACGGTAATTCCTAGAGATTTGTTTGAATCCAGGCAGGAGATGAAACTCAGACAGTTACTTTATCGATCAATGTATGTCGTGTACTTTTCATGTAATAAATAATATAAATACAGTAATTTAAACTGAAATATAGTAACAATTCATTTCGGAAGACTCTGTATAGTCTAGCTGTCTACTCGAATGTAAGGTGCACTTTCTTCTGGTTTTAGTATCTCCGAAAATAGAATTTAATGTGTCACGAGTAGCGACTTTTAGTACCACACATCTTATTTTTCTCACTAATTCCATTATGTCAGTTTATCAATTTTATTAGACCAATGAATGTTCATAATAGGAAATATTTAAGAGGGTCAACTTAGCTTAATATCATTAGTCTGTTATAGTAACATCATGAGTACTTGGATGAAAATCCCAGAAAGGTTGACTTTTTCAAGAAATGTTGCATTATGAAAGCTTGATAGCAATTACATGTGGGAAGACGCAAACTTAAAATTTAGTGTCCATTCGGAAGAGCCTAACTTGGAAGCGAGGAGGTTTCCGACTTTGATACAGCAGGTACTATACGGTATTTTTCTGCACTCGAGTTACACCGAATTTTCCATTTTTCTAAATAGACTACATAAAATCTGTGTACTGTATGATTCGGAATGATTTCTATGTTCGTTTTTTCGCCATATCCCACGTTTAAACTGATTTGTCAGGTCGTACGGTTCTTCGGAAATCAGCAAATAAATAGAATTACATTTACGTAACTCGGTGCTACTGGCAAGAAGTTACCAACGAGAATAGCTATAACGGCAGTCATGTTGAAATATCCAATACCCGCATAAATGCGAGCAACTTTGGCATTCTTGATAAAAATAGAAGCACATAATTGTAAGTGACTAATGTAAAATAATATAGTTATTTGCTGTCGTAAAAAAGGTCATTACTCTTGATTCGAATGATTAATGCCAGTCATCTCTCGGTTAATTTCATTTATTCACATGATAACAATAGTGCTCTGTATGTCTTACTGTTTTCTATTCTCTCAGAGTATTTAGATCACTGTCTAATACGTTAACATCGTCAACAATGGGCACATTCGTGTATAGTTCTAGGTCATTGTCTGTTATATGCAAAAACAGTAATAAACTTTTTTTTAAAAAATGACAGATTTGTGTCCTTAGTATGCACATGATATTTTGAGAATTCTAGTTACAGAATAGTTTACAATATACAATATATGGTGGTTTGTATATATGGAGTGGCACAGTATGGGTCATATATCAACAGAAGCCACGAATTTCACACTGTATTGGCTGACCAGATACGTCGTACAATTGACTGCAAGGTGAGGAACAAGGCACAACGTACGAATCGAGTAAAATTCTCGTGTTGGCGGGGAAAGTATCAGCCGAGTGCTCCTTTCAAATTGGGACCTTCAGAGAAACGAGTCGGTGTTTGGACTCAAAATCTCCACTTCTAAATCTGTAAGATTTTAGGTCCAAATGCCATCTTGTTGCTCCAGAGGTCACGTGTTTGATGCTGGATCTTCAGAGCATCTGACTGAGACTTTCCTTCAAGCACAAATTTTCAGGCCTTGTTCTTCGCGGTGCGACCAGTGGTATAAAGTACTGGTCAGCCAATATATGGCAGAATTATTGCCTTGCATAAATGTCTACATTAGTAGAGTTGTCATAATTTTGTGTATAATATTTCATACACGTAAAGATTTTTGGGGTGTTTGCAACATATTCGTGGTTGTATCGATTAGTGAATGTATGGAGCAACAGATGGCGCTAGAAGTTATTTAATTGTTTACGTCCATTACTCAACTCGCGTTGTTTGTATTCAGGTTAGCAATATTTTAATCGAAAATGGTAAATTCCAGGCTGGAAATCCTCTTTAGAAAACTTTCAAGGTCATTTCCCTCTGCCATAAACTAATTTTCGAAAAATCCCCTCTGGCTTTTGTGGATGCTGCGACAGCAATAAAACTATTTTTGTATTGTTTATGCATCGTTTCAAGAAACAGGGTCATGCGTGCAATTGACCTACATTAATCTCGTTTCGGCGTAGAAAACGCTCTGACCTCTCAATAAGAATTCGAACCCGTTTCCACAAAAAATCAGTCAATTTTTTCTCGACTCTGCCGCACCGTCATTCCGCCTCCGCGTTCTCTCGCCGCGCGGCGCGAGCGCTCGCTCTGCCTCTCTCTGTCTCAACGCTAGCCTACGGGCGCGGCGCTTAAATATAAATTATTTTAAACACGAGAATCGTGATTCAACGTAGAAATCGCCGGCGACGAAACCGTATCTCGTATCAGAATCGCCTTTAGTTTTCAAGCGGCACGTCATGCGTGCGCTCCACTTCGTGCCCGTTCGGATGTGGGTCAGCCGGTTCGTCGACCTAAAAAACATCCTCTAGCCTAATTTCGTATTAACAATTCCCTTCGTGGAAGCCACTTTTTGTTCGGATCACACGCGAAAATCCGGTCGCAGTATAAAATGCCTGTCCGAAAACAACGGGGCGTGCGTCGGCGCGGCGCGGCTTCGCCAAGCGACTTTCTACGCGCGCCGTCTTATATAGGTCAGTGAGTCAGCGATGCGACCGAGAACTTGAAACGGCGGACAGTACTGGTGATAAAATACGTCACCGCCAATCTGCATCCTGCACGGTCGGTTTTTTATTTTTCTTTCTTAATTTTTTTTTTTTTTGCCTTTCCTCCCTCTCACCATAACGTTTGCCAGCCACGCTGCGCGCACAGACCTTGTCCTTCGACTGTCCCGACTTTTCCGCACATCGCCACATGGATCGGCACAAGTGTGTGGGTGTGGTTAAATAGTCATCGACACCTGCACTCGCCAAGGCCATAACTGCTCGACATGTACAAGAAAGAAAGGCCTAAATTGTCCGTCACTGCCCTTCTCTATGGCACCCACAGCCCCTCTAACTGGATACCACTCTCAGGTATGTCAACCCCCCTTCTGCGTAAGTTCGCCATCCCCCTTTTTTTTTCTCTCCCGATACCTTTACATCGCGTCCTTGTCCTTGATGGCTTCGACGTTCGCCAAAAACTTTCTCTGCCGATTACAACGTGAGCCAAGAAACTTCGCTAGGAGCCGAAAAGGCGCTGTGTTCGTCGTCGTTGCGTTCGTGGTCATTTTTCTCGTATTTTTCTTTCGTTTCTCGCATCCGCGCGCCGCCAAAATCGATAACGATGATCTCTGACGTCGCGTCGCGCGCCGCGCCGTCCACTTCAAGGTCAGCGAGTGGGTGGTGCTGACACTTCGACTTTTTTTTTTTTTTTTTTTTTCGTTTTGCTAATCGGTAATTACGGGGAGTGAGACGTGTTAAAAATCGATAATTCGACTTCGTTTTTCTTGCCGTTTAGACGTCTCTGAAATTAATTGGTTGGTCCTGCGGAAAGTGGTTGCACATAATTCGGGGAGTGCGCATTGCCGGTTTGCGGGGGAGACGTGCCGAATTTTTGCTTCCGACGGGGCTCGTGGATGCCTCGTTTTGCGTGGACGACTGCCGTCTGTTTTGCGCCGCATTTCGAACTTCTTTCACTCGCAACCTTTCGAAGTTGAGTGTGGATGGATTTCTGTAAGGACTAGAAAGTTCTTACTAGTTTCCCTATCCGAATTTCTCTCCGATGTTTGAGTGTCGTGCCTCAAACTTCACTCTTAATCCATGAAATGAAGCAATCGTTTTTCTTGTGTTGCGCGTCGCTTCCGGCTTCGTTCTCAGCTCGAAACTTAGTGTAAAGTAATCGGCATCCTTCGTCTTGCTTCTGAATTCTAATTATAGGAAGATTATAATTTATCTGTTGTGTTGATACTTTGTTATCTTTTTAGTTAAATGCTGTGTGATTGCATGTATTTTGAGTATAGACAGGAAGGAGACTTTGGAATTGCTGCTGATAGCTGATTTCGATTAGAATATCAAACGAAAATAAATGATTTATCAACAGTTAATGTTGATTTGTGTCATTTAAGTGCAATAATTAAGTTTTCTGTACAGTTGTTTGTGTTTTTGAAACCATTTCTTGTTTGTATTTATGTAAATGTTAGTGTATAGCAAGCTTCTGCATGGATTAATGATAAAGTTTGCATTATCGTGTGGCATAGGGATTTTACCGATACTTTCATTCGCATAAAATTAATGTAGGATTGCAGATTTTTTACCAAAGTTGATTGTCTTATCAGTTCTCAATGATAAATAATAGCTGATAGTGCATAAAATGTGTCTTTCTTGTATTGATAACAAGTTTTTTAGCTTACTACACTACTTTTTAAATTTGGAAATTGGTTTTAAAGCATATTTACAACATTGTTGTTGTTTCTACTTTATCCAAAGATAGGCTCAAATCACACATCTGTTGTTAAATAAGGTTTCTTCTCCCTAATCTCCCATAATTTATCATAAATATAACAAATGTGGGTATGGGGTTCCATTTTGACATGTGCATTATGAATCGGTCTTATCCGTAAAGGGCAAAACATGCTCACACCTGTGTTAAAAGACAGTTGAACCACATCTGAATCGAAATTCGACCGAAAATTGCCTTGCGGAGAAATCGCGTTTAGAGAAGCGAAATTTATTTACGGCTTTATCATTTATTTTATTTTTATTTTTTATCTTATAGATACTTCTAATAGCATTGATAGCTTATTTTATTTACATGTTAAAGTGTTTCTAAAACCACGAGTGTGTGCCTCTTATCATTTTTTAGTTGTTAAAAGTTGCGCGTAAGCTTTCTTATCAAAGTTTTTTTAAGGTAATTGATAAAGACTCGTCGATAAAGCCATTCGGTACTATAATTTGGTTGTGGGTTTTGATAACTTATTACTTCTCACACATGCTTCGGCCACTTATTAATACGTGATATATCTAGGATAGATGTTCCACTTACATTAAATTAAAGAATGACCCTTTACAGTACATTAAGATACTTATGCTTCAATTTGTAGGCTTCGGAATTGATTATAATTGCATTTTAACTGTTTTTCATGCAATTAAGTTTAAAATACGTGGAGAAATTGAAGATTTTTCTTCGGAAAATGCACATTTTCTGTATATAACTTCAGTTAATTGCGCGATTGCGGGATAAGATGCTGACTACATAAAATTTTCTCGATAGTTGTATACTTATGATAACTGTTTGTATATTAAATCACTTCCATGTTGTATAAAGGACTAAAGGAAACTTACACTGTGCAATAGGATCTCTATTTTCTTTCATTTTGTCGGCATTAAGGGTTGTTTTCTCACAGCCTGTATTAATTATAGTATGTTAGGATCCTGATTATTTGAGGCAAACCCATGAATGAATACACTACTTTTGGTATAAAATAAAATGTAAAACAATAATACATATTACAGAATTATTTGTTTTTGCCAAAATGGCGCGACACTTAAAAGTACTATCGTATAAATTTTTCTCTCTAATTTTTAATAGAAAATGGTCGTGGCATCCGATTTTCCGAGTTTTTGGTTATCCAAGGTAGCGTTAGTCTGTGTTTCCTCAAATAATGTTGTTTCTTCACTAGTTACTTGGGCCTTAGTAGACTTTATAAAACAATATAATTTCATTTTTCTAGGTGGACTAGTTTAAAAATCATTAGAATGTTAATGGTTCAAATTTAAATATATCAAAGTAAAGAAACTGTGACATTCCTTGTTTTTCCCTTCACCCTTCACATAAGGCAGGTCTAACAACTTCATCCTAAAGTGGATCAGTGGAGGTTAGAAACGACGATCGAACGTTAACCTACTTACTCATTGCACCAGTTTTTATACAGTTGATATCACTTTATTATCTAATAAAAATGAAATTGTTTGTTTATAGAAGTTATAAAGTTCTATTATTATTATTCTTTTTCTATTGTATCTGTACAAAATAAACGATAAATGCGTTTGCGCAGACAGTAGACGCCGGCAGTGGTATCTGCAATTGTACGAGAAGTACAACTTTTGGAGTGTCTTGCACAGCAAATAATGAAGAGAAATGAGGACTTTTTGGCAATTATTTTATATAAAATAAATGTTTTAGGGGTCGAGTTAGAAATTTTCGTGTAAAAGAAGGTGGGTTTTCTGTGCTCGTTACCGTTAACGAGTATTTAGATTGTTATCTTCGACGTAAGTTTAGAACGAAAGCAGCTATTGATTCAAGTTTAAAGAATGAAGGCTGCATTGTGTTGTAAGGAGTGTTGCCCTTGACTGCTAATGTTAGTAACGAAAGGGTACTTATGCAAACAATGAAATTAACCTTGAAACTGATCTTTCGTTACTCTCGTGCAATTAATTTACGGCGAGTCGTAATACTACAATTATTTTGGCAGTTAGTGTTGCGCGTTACGAGAGTTATTGCTGCCGGTCGGAAAATTCTCGCATTTAACATTTGCTTGGCAAGAAATGTTTTGCAATTCGTCGCCGATAAATTTTCAGGAGTAGCAGCGAATATGTAATAATATATTTTTTGTTTTCTTACATCCATAACCTGTTTTCCTCGTGAAATTACAAATAGATTTAACTGGAAGTCCGGCGGACGTTTCAGGAATCGCGTCACTTTGTCGCGTCTGGAAAATTATGTTATGGTTATATTTAGCTTCTCGTGACCTGTTTGTGGGAATTATTAATTGTAGTTTGCGATAAATGCTCGTACGTGTTTATGATTAATTCTTTAATGTTGCATGTCACTTTGTAACTTTCCTCTAAGCTGTAATATTTTTAGATTTCTGTAAAAATATCTTAATTTTTGTATATATTTCTCCCATTTGCCCAATTATTTGTATTATTACTTACCTTGTATCAATTTTACCATTAAGTTTCTTCAAATTACTTCATTTAATGCCTTTAAACTAGTAACGAATCTATGTTTTGTTATGTTTATGCTGTCTAATTGATATGTGAAGCCTGGTGTTACAATTGTATCTTATTACAGAAGATAAGTAAGGTACCAATGGTTTAAGATAGATAATGAAAGTGATACATAGTTTCAACTGTTGTAAGTTCAACAGATCTGGCATATCAGTTCCATACAGTCTGCTTACGTGTCAGGAGTGCAAGCAAAACCTGCGGCATAATAGCACACATATCTTTTTTGATGATTTGTACTTTGTACTTTCTTTAATCTTCGGCTCGAAGAACAAGGCATGGCTCCAACATACTCCAAACCAATTCCAAACTGCTGATCCTTAAAGGGAATTCTATATATTCCAAGTGTTCTGAAAGGATCTATCATAAGCCTGTACATTGTAGTGGTTTATTCTGTTACAAATTCCATCACTACTAAACCTATTTGTGACCTGCCTCTGTGTTTATGATTATTAGTAATGTATGCATTCAGTAAATGACCAAATTCGCCTGTCATATGACCCCCAGAATGAATGAAAAAGCCCTTTGTACAAGTGCCATAAAGGCAGAGTTTAAATTTGTGTAGATCAACAGAAACAGCAGAATGAAGAAGGGGTTGTACTCAGGTTTCCTATAAATAGAGATCGCTATATATCTATCCTTGAGAACATTCAGAAAATCTAAGAACTACCTCATAGTATATCTCTCCTACTCCAGTTTTTGAGTGAGGTCATAAGGGTTTGTGTTAACACTACTCAAAATATGACTGACGCTAGGTTTCTACACCACAAAATAAGCGTATCTGGTGTAACTTATAAGACAATGTGGTGCTGAAAAGATGGGAGAACCAAATGCTTCGATTGTCATAAAACTGGCCCATGCAATATGCTCAAAAGGAGACTTTCCACAGGTACGCCCCTGTTTTTAAAGAGGAAAAAATGCATAATAACTCCAGCATATCATAATGGACAGTCCAAACTTGCAGAAATATGACTGTATTTTGTTAGGCAGATAGAGAGAGATTCAGAGTTTGTAACGGTTAAGAATTTTCTCACCAACTAAAGAGATATCTTGTATTCGTGGGTTTGGAGAGAAGCTTTTCATCCAAAGTCCTCTGTGAATGTCATCGAGCACCTTTGTATCAGGTAAAACATATTACAGGCCTCGTGTTGGGAGGTTGTTTATGCCCCAAACTTTAGTGTTTCTAAATACAATATAGGGGAAGCATCCTGGCATATAACATCTCTATTGGCTGATGAACACCTACGAATGGTTGTTTTAAGTTGTCAGCATATACCCTCATTCAATTCTGCTAAATTTCTTCTTTGATTTGCATATTTTTGAATGATAGAAGTGAGTATTTGGATGTATACAACTGTAATTTCATAATTAAAATGATGGATAAAGATCACAGAAGTATTTATATACATACCAACACATGCTGATGATGCCACTGTATGATTTAATAATTATTTCTGATGCATTTTAATATCTTTGGGCAATACATATCGTTACAGTTGGCTTATAGGGACAGTGTGATGCTCGATTGGGTTCCTCTAAGTTTGCTATTTCTTTCTCAAACTGTACACACACACACTTCTAATCTAGCAACACAGTTTTAAAGTTAAACACTGCTCAACTTTTAATGCAGTGTCGAGTTAGCCCTGAGGTCATCTTTACGGGTTTGTATCAAAAGTCGACTGCAGTTAGAGTCCTTGAAGACAAGCTAAATGTGTGTAGATCTGCATCTACACTCTATTTATTTCACATTTCTGCCTTGTTTTTATAGTAAAAGCATGTTACAAACCAGTTTTTATGCAGTCGTAAAGTATCACGATGCTGCATAATGCAAGCACCTCAAACTTAAGCTCGAGCGTAGCAAACGTAAGTCGCAATATTTCATTTTGTAGCGAAATGTTAGACGTTTTATGCAACTAATTTATAAAACTGTAATGAAATTTGACATGTTTTATTAACTGCGCATTGCAAAACCTCTTCTGCGAAGAGTGATAAACATCAATCAAGAAACTAGTCACGCAGCGTTTATTTGCGATGTGTAACGTCAATAATTAATGTCTTTTATATTAGTCGAATCAACATGTTCATTTGCAAGTTATAATGTGCCGATTAAAGTATAAAAACTTGAGGAGTTTCTTTTACTCGCATGAATTTTTTTTTTAAGGTTTTATCGTCTTACAGTCTCGGATGTACTGTTTAATTTCGATTAAAGGTATTACGGCGTAAAGGCAATTAAGGAAAAAATGAGACCACGACTTATCTTTGTCCTATTTTCTAGGATTTTATTGCCATTGATTTAAAAACAAAGATTGTTGATAAGGGTTTATCAATGTTTTTTTTAAAGTAACGTGTGAAGAGTATTATAAGGAAGATATTTCTTAAAATTTTAACCTGATAAGTTGGAAGATATCAATATTTTATGTCTTCTTTTTGCTATGGTGCAACATAACTATCTTTATTTACCTTTTTCTTGATCGTTACGTAATTAAATTGTTATTTTATTGCCGTTTATCTGTCCGACATCCATTTTGGGCGACTGGGAACAAATATGCAAGACAGTAGTTCAATATGTTTTAATGAGATGGCATAATTTAGTTAAGTAGACATTAATGTGTTTATACGAGTTCTCTGCATCGTTTAAATTTTACGTTTAAGAAAAATGCAATGAAAACGGTACAATAGAATCGGTGGTTTTGGGTTATGCGAAACCGTAAGTTTACGTGCATTTTAATATAATGTAAGTTTAAGTAATGTAAAGTTTGTATGACGTGGTACTTGGTATTGTGCAAAAGCCTAGTTACTACCAGATTCCGGGTGTTGACAAACTGTGGTGCGTGTCTGGAGCTGTTAAAAGCCAGAAATCCTAGCAAAAGTCTATGTTGCTTATGCTTAAAATTGCCACTGGGTGAAACCTTTCGGCATACACTTTGAATCGCTTTAGAGTGAGCTATAATTGTTATCGACTGAATGTAATAAGCACGACATGCTAACAACCTCGAAACATCGCACATTATTACTTTGTCGCATATGCTCGTGCTACATCCTTATATCTTGAAAATGATCCCCACTATTTATTACATTTTTGAATTCCTCATTCTAATTAATGGAAAATGGCAAAGTTTCATCAAAATCAAACAAACAGATTTTGAGAATGAGCATAATTCTATAAGCCACATAGAAGAGGCTTTGCGCACGTCAAAGGTGTGCGCAAAGCCAAAAAATTATCCGACCGTTTACCATTCTTTCCGCTTTGTTATTTGATATTTTTAATGTCATTCTTTCTTATCTTAATTCATTTCTTAAAGAATTTTATATGTTATAGTCCATGCGTTTCATTGAAATGTAATTATCGATTATTAGTGTTTTCATATACTCAGTGTCATTGTTTAATATCATATAAATTCTTAATAATTAAGTTTATAAATCTTATCCTTTTTATAATTTATTTAAATACGGCTTCATATACACTTAATTTTAATTAATTAAATTTTTTTAGCATCTAATATGGGCGGGACGTCGATCAGCAACGACGGTGCCACCATAGTGACCAGCAGCCAGTCGCAGCCTTCGTTTCCGAGCATCCACAGCAGTAATTTTATCTCCCCTGTATGTATCACTACTGTTAGAATATATTTTATGCATTATAATTGATTGATTGCTGTAGTTGTTTCTCACAAAATAAATCCTAACACATTCCAATTAATGCTAACGTCCTAAAATCTATATCACCAACCGAAACAGTAGCTCAAGAAGCTAATTTCTCGACTGAAATCTGAAACGAAATGTACAGTTTTCAGTACGATAAATCCTTGATTTACAGTTCAGATGTTACCATCATTGGTAGGCAATGTGTTTTGGTAGTTAGTAGACAGTTTCTAGTATAAAATTAACAAAATGAATAATCCTCGAGAATTTATAATAGTCGTTTATATATTTTACAGCACTCCAGCCACTTCCCACCAAACCACCCGCTAAGCGGTTCCAAGCATCTCTGTTCCATTTGTGGCGATCGTGCGTCGGGAAAGCATTACGGTGTTTACAGGTACGTAAATCTCTTATGGGAAGTTTTATTGGTGTTATAATTTGGACATTGTTTAATTAATATGTTATAAAGCTACTCGACAAACTGAAAATACATAAAATATTCATAAATGATGCTTACAATACAAAGAAAATTACTGTGTCATTCCTTGCATTGTTGCTTTGCCTCATTTTTAAAGCATGCACAAATGTATACCTGTTAAGCAAACTGTAAGAATTTTCAATAATTACGGAACTTACGTCGTAAATTCTCGTTTTATCTCCATTTACATATTAGGATCCAAAAATTTCACAGACGTGGTATATAGTTCTTTGCCTTGAATAGTTTAAAATGTTGATGTATAGCTGCCTTTAATGCTTATCCATAATGCCGCCTGTTTATCTAATATGATGACTCAAAACGACATCAAAATGATCTTGGACAGTTTATGAATGATGGAATCACCCAAATCTTACATTTTATGTCCAGTTAAATGGAATTTGCATCAGTTAATTTGTCATGAACGGCCTGAAAGTTGTTTTAAGTCATTGAATGTGGTAAAAGCAGCATTGCATTATCGATGGTAATGCCTCCTGCATAATGTACTTGCAAAAGATGGCTTGCGGCAATGTTTCCAGAAGCCGTTCGAGTGCTGGAAAAAGTGTACCATTGCCGAAGGGGAATAGGTTGAAGGTTATTGTGCATTGATGATTTAAACTATTCGAGGCAAGGAACTATAAATCTCCAAACTTTCGGATCCTACCATGTAGAATTAACTCCAATTAAGCTCCGAAATTCAATTATTTTCATTTTAAAGTGTGGCAACTAGAACGCTTGAATACAGTAGATACAACTATCAATTATTTATTCTATAATAATGTCTTATTAATTGAATGTAAACAGTTCGAAATTTTAATTTTTAGAATGATGATACATTTTATCAATTTAGCTGTGAAGGATGTAAAGGATTTTTCAAGCGCACGGTGAGGAAAGATTTGAGTTACGCCTGCAGGGAGGAAAGGAATTGCATTATCGACAAGAGACAGAGGAATCGCTGCCAGTATTGTCGTTACCAGAAATGCTTAATTATGGGTATGAAGCGAGAAGGTAGGAGGAGATAATTCAAATTTTCTTTTTAACAAGATACAATACAAATATTTGAAAAAAATATCTAGTTTAGGACATTATTTTCAAAGTTTTTAAGAATAATTGATCATTGCCACTTCAATTTTTACATTATAAAATAATTTAATCTGTTAAGGCAGCCCCATGCATTCAGTATTCACCAATTTCTGAATAATTCTCTATTTGTCCCTTTTCATTCGGCACACATTATCAACAAGGAGTGAGAAACATCAAATACCGAATATTAGGTACAAGTCCATCCACAGTACTTTGTATTGGTGAAACGTTTGCTTGACATTCAACAAATACCAATTGTGTGGAGCCGCCTTTAGCATATGTATATTTTATCATAATCACTTAAATACCACATACACTTGTGCGGAAAGATTACCAATTTTTCTTAAAATTTTTTCTAGTTTTTCATGATATTTTGGTTTGATATAAATTATCCTAAATGACTGTATGAATATCTACATTTTGATCGTCTCTCTGTATTTTTGTCGGCCAGCAAATGTGTGTTTAGTTTGTTCAAACCTATATAAGTCAGGTTTTTAATGGCTCAAAAATCAGAAAATATGAGAAAAATTGCTTAAAATAGAATGTACGATGCGCCTGAGTCACAAATTTTTCCAGAGAATTCTAATAGAATTTTGGCAAGAAAGTTTAGAAGAAACGAGACAGGATCTTGTCCTCAATTAATAATTTCTTTTCTTGATTTTAATGTACTTGACACAACTTTCAACACAAATTTCAAACTAATTACAAACATTTCTCGCAGTTTAACAGCTGCAATTCTGAGTAATCTATTTTTTTTTTTTTATCCTTTTATCAATAAACCTGTGTAGCAAACACAGGTTTTTCTAGTAACATCTAATTCATAATTGCTAGTTACTTCACCAAGATCTTGTTTATGTTGTCAGAATATTATTTATAGAGAATAAAAGTAATACAAATCCCCTTCCAAACATGAATAACAGGAAAATGTATGGTCTGATTATTAACAAGATTTTATAATGCACGATTTGCTGTAATTGTTTAATGTTGACACAAAGATAAAAGTTCATTTATTACACTAAATTATGACAGTTACACGCAAATATAAGAACAAAGAAAATAATTAAATGTAACGATGTAGAGTATTCTGAGACTAACAAGCAACTGTCGCCTACCTTCCAAACGCACGATTGGAATGTGACGGTGGCATCCAACCAATAAAGTAAAATAACTATGCGCATGTGCAAATTTGGCTGTAGTAGAATAAATACACCATCTGACAACTTAAAACGGGCGTCAAAAAAATGCAGAATTCGTCAAACAAGACAACAAATTCAATCATTGGCTCATTTGTTATCTCATATTGATGTTAGTTATTTGGTAACTAACTGAAAATTTTTTGGTGGTCAGTTAGCAACAAGCAGTTGTTAGAACATTTGTTACGTTAGTAGGACGTAGAAATCACCAAGATCGGCATTATATGTGTGTTTATCGCAAGGACTTTCGACGATCCTAATGACAACATTAGGATCGTTGAAAGTACTTGAGATAAACGCACATATAACGCCAATCTCAGTGATTTCTATATCCTACTATACAGTATTTGGTGGAAATATCATCCCATTGATTATTTGTTACATTGGTGCAAAAATACAGAAACTTATTTACCAAGATGCCCAGAGATACATCCATAAAATAGTTTAACTTAAATTCGGCCATTATCCTCACATTATTTGTCCGTGCCGAATTATGTGGCTCTACAGCTTATCTACAGAAAAATAAATTATTGTAATTTTAATCATTCCCAAACTATTTTTACATTGCTTTACAAGTGTGTCATTAAATGTAAATAAATACACTGTAATCATTCCTGTTGTTTGAAAATCGCATACAGAAATGACTGTTTTCGTATGACGCTGGCGACAATGCTGTCTACATGGGTAGGCAGGTACAAGAAATCACACACAAAATCAAATGATACGACCTGATTCTTATTGAGCTACGGTTAATTATTAAGATATTAAGCAATCGGGCTAGAGGTAGGTAGTTAAGTTAAGCTGTTATCTACTGCTAAATTTAATCATTAGAAATAATTTAAATTAAGATATTTCGGAAGAAAAGACTGATCCAGAGTAGGACACCGATCCACAATTGCCATTTATTGTGCGGGCGTGTTACCAGAAGATCATACAGACGTCCAAATAGCGTAACTGGCAATGCATCTGCACGTTAGTTACGTTGCCAAATCCATATTTGTGAGCTTTAAAATTTGTTTTAAGGCTCACAAACATGCCAAATTAGTTTGTATTAAAGACTCAAAGAATTACAATTTGTATTAAATAGTAATAATTAATTTAAATAGCTGTACAAGAGGAACGTCAACGAACTAAAGATAGAAACGAAAATGAAGTCGAGAGTACGAGTAACTTTCAGAGCGACATGCCGATCGAAAGGATTTTGGAAGCAGAATTGCACATAGAACCGAAAAGGGACGATGCCGATCCTGACGTGAGTACAATTTTCCAGAAGTGTCAATTTTTATAATATAATATGAATAGATAAAAATTTATTAATTAATTAATTTTACAATAAATACAGATTTATTATAATACAATGTAAAGAATAACTCAGTATATATAGACTATAAGAATAACATAACAATGGTGATACTGTGTTCCCGAAGTGTGCGATTAAGCATAGATTACAGAGATGCTCTTCTAATTTTTCTGAGTGTTTCTTTTATTATACAGAATTTTCAGTTGTATTTTCATTTGTGGGTTTTGCATCAGTTAAATAATTAAATTAAATACAGAGAGATAACGTACAAACAGTATGACAACAGAGAAGAGGTATGACCAGATGGTGAGATGACCGATACAAATCAACCGATGTGATACATAGCTTGAGAGTAGAATAACATGTACAGTAGTATAAAATAGACAATACTAATAGTAATAATAAAAATTACACAGATATGTGTTGCACAGAACTAGTAATGATATGTACAATGATATGAAGATAGTGCCCGATGACAGACATGACCAACTTAATGAATGACGGAGTGTATGTGATACTTATAAATCAATTTTTTGAATGCTTTGTAGGTGTCACTATCTTTAAGAAGGACGTGAAGTTCACAAGGGCAAGCTCATGCCTAGCATCCTTGGTCATTGGACACATGTATGTATAGTGCTCAATCCCATCACGGCAATTACAGGTGGTACAGATGTTCGTTGCAGATTTGCCAAACCTATGCAAGTAGGCACCAAATCTCCCATGCCCAGTGAACAATTGGGTGGTCATGAATAGATCGAAAAAAGTTCCTGGAAAGACCATTGTAGCTATCCTATCTCTGCTGCCAGAGGTCCAAGTTGTAGTTCCAATGTTGGAGCTTAAGAAAAGAGCTTTGAATACTTGAAAGGGCCAGAGGTACTGATTGTTGCAGCCTCCCTCGCAAGTAGATCTGCATGTTCATTACCTAGAATACCCAAATTTTATATGTAACTGGCTGTGAATGACTTGTATCATTTGAGTGCAGTATTTGTTAGAGTTTTACTATCTCTTTCATTATTTTTCCACAAGTGGCCATATGGAAAGAAACCCACTGAACATTGGTAGTTGGTCTTAGGTTCGTGCCGTGCCAACGGGCTGCCGACTTTCGAGTTTTCCAGGTTTTCTTCACATTAGTAACATCTAAATAGGGATCAGTTTTCCCATAAGACCTTCTGGGAGACATCATTTATGTGTTGTGTTGCCGTATATGAATAAACCAACCAACCTTCAATCATTTGATGGATAATTCCCTTGTAATTGCTGTGGTTTTGTTGATCAACAGAATAATAAAGCTTGCGTACAGTCATACCCCGAACTTACGCGATAGGTGGAACCGAGCGATAACCGCCTAAGTCGAATTCGCGTAAGTCAGGGTATAATTTTTCATATAAATACGTACAAATTATTTTTAATTGGGACCGGAGACTAAAGAAAACAATAATTTAGAAAAAAATGTTTAATAAAACCTTAGATAACACATGTATAACAAATTAGGTCTATGTTATTTTACAATTTTTCACATTTACTTGATTATTACGCCATAATTTTAACGTTGTTTCCACCTCAGCGATAATACCGTGACGTTTAGGAATGATGCTTGAATTTAAAGATTGAGCATTTTTCACAGCTTCGAGAATTTTTTCTTTACCTTTTGTAATTGTTCTGACCGACAATTCCGGTAGATCAAACTTCTTTGCCAATTCACAAATTTTCATTTTTGTATCGAAGTCTTTAATAATGTTAACTTTACATTCCAAAGATAAAGTCATTCTTTTCTTGTTTGATGCAAAAGAATCAGTTCTACTTCGTTTGGATGACATAGTAGAGTGTTAAGATTAATCATATCGTTATTGTAGTATCGTATTATACCGCGCTTAAGTTAGGCGCCATCTATTCATTTCTTTTGTATGTCCGACGATCAAAAGACCGCTTGGGATCGAGTCTGTTTATAATTTGAAAGGTAATCTTGTCAGTTGTATATATAAAAGGTAAATTGTTTACAAAATGAGTCTTTGTTTATTATCTGATAAATGTATACTTTTTTCATCAATTGTTTACGATTGCAGATGCCTTTTGTGTAAAATCCAAGTCGGATGTATGTAAGCTAATAAATGTTCTCGTTAATCTTATCTCGCCTTTTGGTTCATTCATGGTTACAAGAAATCATCACATAGAGTCTCTCGAGTTTCCGTAGATATAACAAACAGAAATAAATTACACAAAATAAATTGTAGCTATGCGTCGATTCTGCACGACACGTCCGAACACGTAAGCTGAACAATAGTGTGGGGGGAGTGAATAATCAAGAGTTGCGTGGTGCTCAAACAAAAGACAATTCGACGAGATTTGAAAATCGCGTAAGTCGGGGTATTACTGTATATCTACAAGCACTCACTTTCTATCCATATATACTATTTGTGTATTAAACAATACAGAAAGCTATGTTTTACATATACTAAATAAAAGGCGATTCTAAAAATTTTCTCTATTGCAAAATTATTTAATAGCATTTTTGGGACAGAAATATTTTATTTTTGAATCACCAATGGTAATTGATGTCAAATGTCCTTAAATTAAAAATCACATGTGTGGGTAGCCTGAGGTAGGACGAAGTCTTACCTCTTTTTGAAAGGCAACAGTTTGGTGAGAACTGCCCACTGTCAGTGAATGGCTTGTTTATGGGTTTTTCTATCCCGGAAAGTCGGGATTCTTTTGTCCAGTTGAATGGGGGAGGTGAGAGGGGTCGTCGGTAAAGTGTGAGCGATACTCGAAGTAAAGACGACTTTTAACAACAAAACAAACATTTATTTAAACATACTATCCTAACATAAAGGGATTAACTATTCGCATGTAATTCGAAGTGACCGCGCCGAGAGAGAGTTTACAATATTTGCTCATACCTCCAGTCGATTCAAATTAGTTTCCTAGGATTCGCTTCAGCAAGGTCTGGAACGTCTCCCCGGGGCAAGGTAAGGCGTGGACGACTTGGCTTGTGTCAAGTGACGTCGACCCCCCCCTTCGGTTCTCACCTCTTGTTTATACCCTCTGGTCTCGTGATCGTTTTTCACCAATTACAGAATTTTTTGGATAAGGTCCGGGTGATTCAGTTGCGGGTTCTGTTGGGAAAGGAAGTTACTTTGGGGACGGAAAGATGAACATCCTCTCTCGGAAAATTTCGAAAAAACAAAAACAAAAAGGAAAAGTGGAGGGTTTCTTTGTTAAAACTACTTTATAGTTAATATTATAATTCTGTTGATTTATTTAATTGTTCTTGATTCGGGCCGCTTCTCACACATGCATTTGTGAGAACCGGGGAGTTAGTTGTCCCCACTTACTGGCAGCTCTGTCAGAGGATGGCTTTATAGGAGGTGAAATGAAATGAGTGGGGAGGTCAATGATAAGTCGACAGGTTTCCAAATAAATACACAGGTTGAACAAGAATAACACATTTAATAAACAACTATAAAATTATACATATCAAAGGCAAAAGTGAATAGCTACAAAAATTCTATTCTACGTCGCGACAATCATTCATCTTTCTTATGGAACATCTAAGTTCTATTCTCTAAGTTAAACTAAGAGACGCGAGAGAGAGAGAGTATACAAATAGATTTCTTAAAAATACCTCTAATTTTCCGATCTGTAATATGGGTCATTGGTAAAAACGTTTCTGGATCGGCACGACAGTTATGGCAAGGTGGCAACGGATAGGGTGGCAGTATGGGTCAGTTGATGTCACAGTCGATATCCCCTGCTGATGCTTGCCAGGTGGACTGCGTCCAAGCCCTCATTATACTATTTTTGAGGGGTGAGAACTGTCAAATAGTTCTTACCCCTGTTAGCTGTGTCCGATCTAGATCCAGCTGGTACGGAACGTTGCCGATGTATTCTTTGGTTGGATCATTGACATTGGTCTACTAAAGGTGAAATTTTATGATATAAATTCCTACGAATTTGACAGTTTTCTCTCATTAATTATTATATATTTTGACAATATCTTCTCAGATTTGACAATAATCTCTAGATTGTTTATATTAAATGTCGCATTAGTTGACGAGAGAGGCAATTATTATCATGTTTTGGTTATCGTGCAGGTGTCTGCAGACACGTGTCACGTGCAGCTAAAGGAGGGGGCGAGAAACGCTGCTTATTAGTTTCTTTTAAACATCTGTTCTTGCCTGGTTGATTTTATCGTCGATCTAATTTATTGGTATAGACTGTGACATTTAACCCGAGGAAAGAGTTTTGTTCGTTGATTGTAGACTATCCCTTTTTTTCTGTAGAATTATTAGGGTTAGGAGGAGAACGATACTGATTTAAACGATAGAAAAAAAATGGGGGGAGAGCAGAATATCACACATTTATAAATGGAACAAACAGAGTGCCTCAAACAAATTAAATCTTCATATCAGATGAGCAACAATAGGCAGTAAACAAACAGATATATAACAATTACAATATAAGAAGCAATTGTAATTGCTTCTTACATTACTTAATTTGCATGTCTTTGCTTGTCTAATTGTATATTGTGTACAGTAATTTATTGTGCTTAAGGATAAATGCAGACTAATCAACATTGCAGCAAACTCTTCTGATTCAACGTCAAACTAAATTTATAGAATTGTTGTACATTCAATCATCATCTGCGCAGTCATTGATTTGACGTCACTCTATGTCAAAGAGAGTAATTGAAGGGGGTGCCTTTCAGGACTCTCGAGTCTGACACAATCTTTTCGTATTGCGAGATACTCATAAACTGTTAAATATTTATGCCACTAGTTTTGGCTACAAGCTGGCATTTGGAGTCAAAAGATTTTGACTGATTATCATACATTTCCAATAAAATCGCACGAGAAGTAACAGAAGGCTACAAGCGACACGTCGTGATCACCAATTTTCTTCACTTTGTAAACACTCTTCTGAGTAATAGTTCGTAGAGGGTTAAAGGAAATGTTTGTCTGTTTTTTAGAACTACATCAAGAATGAGATTATGTGCTGCAATGTCACAAGATCGTCAAAAGAAAATAGTCTCGTGGCTGTAGAAATCTCATCTCTCATCAAGTTGAACATGATGGCATCAAGTAGTTTGCACTTAGCCTTATGGCATTCTTTCAGTTTTTATCAAATGCTTATAGTAGTGTTGATACGTGAATAATTTTTACAGATTAAAGTCGGCAGAAATTTATTTGTGTAGTTTTCTGCCTCCCACTTTTTTCAGCATTTTAAACATTCAAAATTCTTTATACGAGATTTATCTACTCTAGATTATTTATACGAGCTTTTTTTTTTCAACCTCCACCGACCCAGAATAAAGAACAAAACCTCTTTATTTGTAGAAGGTAGTTACAGTCTTTACCTACTTTTCCACATAATTGCCTTGTCGATTTAGGCAAACATCATACCATGACACCAGTTTTTGCATACTCATGTCGAATAATCATTCAGCCAAGCTTTAACACTCTCAGTCAGCAGTATACAGTATTGACTTTGAAATTTGAGGAAATATACTACTCACTAGGTGTGCACACTGTCCCTGTCTCACATGCATTAGTGGAGGTTGAAAAAAAATAATAACAACCCTCGTATTTCCAGCATTACAATTACAGGTAATTTATAAATGCAGAGCTAACAAAATAAATCTTTCCAACAGCAAAAGGATCCGGTCGCAAACATCTGTCAAGCTGCCGATCATCAGTTATATCAATTAGTGGAATGGGCAAAGCACGTCCCTCATTTTACTGACTTGCCTTTGGATGACCAGATGGTATTGTTGAAGGCTGGTAAGTCAATATTCTGTGGTTATTTTAGCATTTTTATTGGCCAAGATTCACTTTTCTGCACTCGCTTCTAGGTTGGAATGAATTGCTGATTGCAGCATTCTCGCACAGATCGGTAGATATTAAGGATGGCATCGTTCTGGCCAGCGGCTTGGTGGTGCACCGGAACAGCGCTCACGGAGCCGGCGTGGGGACGATTTTCGACAGGGTTCTGACGGAATTGGTAGCGAAGATGAAGGAGATGAACATGGACAAGACAGAATTGGGATGCTTACGAGCTATAGTTCTCTTCAATCCAGGTGCGATGTAGTTTTTGCTGTCAGCATTAATCATTCCGGGTTTTAACCTATATAAAAGTATCCTTATTGACATCCCTTTCTGTTCTTTAGATGCCAAAGGATTGAAATCTGTCACCCATGTCGACAACCTTCGTGAAAAACTTTACGCTGCCCTAGAAGACTACTGCAAGCAGCACTATCCTGACCAACCCGGGCGCTTTGCCAAACTGCTGCTTCGTCTTCCGGCGCTCCGCAGCATCGGCCTCAAGTGCCTGGAGCATCTGTTCTTTTTTAAACTGATAGGCGACACGCCCATAGACAATTTTCTAATGACTATGCTGGAAGGTTCGGACGGATGAGGTCCCGTGGACAAGGTAAAGGACACATTCCTCACCCTTCCCGAACACGGACTCTGCCGGTGCGAAAGTATTATATGGAACGTGCGACGCAATACTGCCTCTCTCCTGCATAGTTACATAGATCTGAATATGTTGTGGGAGTAGTTTTGTTCTCTGTTATTTGTTGTTGTTATTGTTGTATAAAAACTGCCCTTTTGGCCTTATTGTTATGAACTATCTTTCTATTTTTTTTTTTTTTTTTTTTATGGAATGGATTTATGTACATATAATTACTTCATGCGTTATTTTCATGTTAAAAACATATAAAAAACATGTGATACATACAAGTATATATCTATAAATACATATACATATATATATATATATTATTTTACATAGTTTAGTTTCCATTTTAAATGAGATATTTTTACCGGTGCGATCATGTCGATGCGACACACTCAGATTTTTCTATTTTTTAAACATAGTCATAGCAAAAACTGTATTTTTTTAAAGAATGTTCGGAGCATTCATGTTTTGCATGTTTTTAAATATATATAATCAAAAGATTATTGGGGGAGGTTGCATTTTCGTGTAGTCGCAGATATTTTAAGTTAGGAAACTATAAAATTTTCTCTCTTACTGCCACTGTACATTTTTCGTACAGGCTAAAGCAATTTTTTCTTTGTTTTCTTGTCTCAAATAACGAGTTTATTCTAAAATTAAATAGCTTACAACGTACTCTGTTTTCTCAAAGATATACGAGAATTACTTCTGAATTAACTTTTACACAGGTTTTCCCGAATGAAATGGAAGTATTGAATAGATGGGCGAGGATATTTTGAAGCAAATGCTGCTACGCATGCACATTTCGTCACCTCTGATACTGTGATGTGCTTGACCCTAACACAGTATATCCTCCTGCTATGTCACAAAGCTCTCTACTTACAAGTCTTATTTGTAATAGTGCTGTCAGTATTAGCGGCAGGAGTCTTCCAATGTAGAACTAATGCAGCAGATTACCCCAATTTTCTTATTCTCTAACCAAATTCCAGCACGTTTTATCATCTCTTGTGTTGTAAAGCTTCATCCGAAACTCCTCTACGATGGTCTTAGCAGCCTTTCCGTGCCACTAAAGTCTTTATTCTCTGTAGCTTCTATATCTAATGGTATCCTTGTTGCCGGTAATAGGATTATTCTGATTCGGACTCTGATGCAATAAGTTTTCCTTTTATCGTCCTTTAATAACATGGACCTTATAATACCTCTATTGTAGGGACAATTATTAAATTGTGTAAGATCTGATTAATTATACAAGTGTAATTTTCTTCCAATTATATGGGCTCTGTGTTTGATTAGTTATGGTAATAAGTAATATCCACTGTCCAGGTTTGAATCTAACACTCCATAACACACATTGCAGTGTTTTCTGAGATGAGATTTGAACTTGCTATCAGAAAATGCTGAGATGTGTGTCACGGACTGCCCATAACAATGGGCTAATACCGTATTGTGTGGCCTTTTGAGTATTGGGAGCCGGTTATGTTTAAAGCTAGTTTCATTGGCATAGTATTAAAGCATAGTAACCTCATCGACAAATTTATCATCATTCATTATGCCCTGAAGATATTAGAACTCTAAACAATTGCATAATTTAACTGGCATGTAAATAAATTTGTTACTTAATGCAAAACATCACAATGGACCCCTTGGCGTGTGATCCGACATGTTACTGGTTTTCATACTTAGAGAATGTTAATTTGTTATATAATAGAAGTTTGTTAATCCGCATCTATGAGTGGTGCCAGGTTTTTGGACATTTTTGTCTTTTTACAAAGTTCTTTAAGCTATGCGCGATTTAAGAGTTGCGGCAAGTGTTATGTGTTTGTGCACTCCCATTAGTAGGCTTCAAGACGAAACAGTGTGCAACTGTTCTGTGTTAAGATTGATCGGCAAAACTGTTAGCAAAGACATTGTTGCGTTTGTGTGCACATACTGTAATATTTATTTGCCATACACATACTGTATACATTTGATTCACAAAGGCTGTACTGCTCCAAGTGTGATAAACCCGCTTGTTAACGTATCGGCTACTTTTCAGAGAGTGCAGATTAAAAAATTTGTACTGTCTTGAAACTAGAGCTGTCTTAACGCATAGTGTAAAAGCATACTTTATGTAAATAATTGTGATGCAATCACTTCAAATTACAGTTTTTTTAATAATATTTCCTGTATAAAGCCCTCCCTCATCTGTTCTATACTGTTTTCACTCTGGAATGTCTGCTTACAGATAAAACTGCACGCTCGTATCCTTTGGAATAACAAATTGAATCAAAACGCACTTCAGAACTTTACATCTATGTTAATGCATTTGCAAATTTTTAAATTTGTTCCACGTGGCATTCAAGTAACTGCATCATAAAGCTCGGACCCGATGCATCATTTAAAATCCGAGGAGGAAGCCGTACTTTCGGCTCGTGCAAACCTTATGTAATTGCATTAATTTTATGCTCTTAAAACAATCGTATTGTGTAACTCGGTTGTGAAAATGTATTTGTTAACAAATAAATATGTTCTCGTTTGTATTTTAAGTACAAATCACTGTGCGCGAATACGGCCTACACGTGCCGAACTCTGCCCGTTTCTAACCGAACTTAAAAGCTTTAAACTCGAGTCTGGTCGTTACGACTCCGTCCAGTTATTGATGGAAGAAGGAAAAGGTTAATTGTATGCTTTTGTGAAAAAAGTAATAATAAAATTTCTGCATCTACAATTCGATATCTGCGTTCATTGTTGTTTATGTTTATATACACTGTTCACTCACTGTACCACACTTATTTGTGGGACACGACACTAACACATTAACTAAAGGATCAATCTTGCGCATGGAGAAGGTCCTCCTGCAAAGTTTGATCCCACTATTTTGAGAGTGCAGTAACACACTAATGAGGGCATCAAACTTGCTTGCTATTGACAAAAATATCATTGTTAGCCATCTTAAGAAAAACAATTCATTGGTTATTTTAACCAGAATTATTAGAAAATTTATACTTTATTGACTAGTAAATCATCTCTAGGCCATTTCACCCACTAGTAAACTTATTGAATATTTTATCTCAAGCATGTCTAGAAAATCTTATGCCAGTTCTACTCATCAATAAATCATCTGTTGACATTTTAATTTCAATACCACAAGAAAACTTAATGACCATCACACCCACTGTAAACAATATGCCACTTTAGTCTATCATCACAAATTTAATGGCCATCTCACCCACTGTAAATAATTAGCAATATTATTTCATTGCCAAAAATCTAATGGCCATCTTACCCACTGTAAACTATTAGCCATATTATTCCATTACCACAAATCTAATGACCATCTTACCCACTGTAAACTATTGGCCATATTATTCCATTGCCACAAATCTAATGACCATCTTACCCACTGTAAACTATTGGCCATATTATTCCATTGCCACAAATCTAATGGCCATCTTACCCACTATAAACTATTGGTCATGTTATTCCATTGCCACAAACCTATTAAGAAACTACCAAGTCACCTCCCATTTATCTATAACGATCCCATTTCATACATCTTAAATCTTTCTGATTTGTATAATAAAAGAAAAGCGAAACGTTGTTACGCTAATTATAACTGTCGTTTGTTAAAAATTAATAAAACGTAACCTAAATTTACGGATTATTCGTAACGTAACTCCCGAGTAGAGCAGCTAATTGAACCTTTTCTTAGCCACACAAATCGTGATTCATTCCATTAGAGGACCATAAAGTCGTAACGAGTGTAACGTGGAAACGTAAATAATGAGCGTAACCTGCGGATATTTGACAAAGTTCACGGTTTGTGTAACATTTAAAGCACCTTGTATACGAAGTATCGAATGTAGCGTGACGTTTTAATGCGTGAGAATTTTCGATTGACTACGCGCACAAAGAACGTTAATAAAAAGCGTTGGCGCGTCACTAACGTACTTCGAACGTAACTCCGCGTTGCCCAAAATGGAAGCGTAACGTCATCAAATGTCGTGTGAGTGCCGAATTTACGTCGTAAACGATCGCGATTTGAATTTTGATAAATTTAAACTCGTTCCTCCCCTTCTCCGTCACTGGTGACGCAAGCAAAGTACTTCACCTCTTGCGTAACCGTCCGAAGGATATCCGGATTTTCTATCTTTTCTCATAAACTCTTCATACTCTGATCCTCGCTCAACTGTCGATACACGTTACTGATCTTCGTGTACTGAGTGTACTAATTAACATATACGTTATTGATCCTCAGTAGAAGATTAGCCTATATTACTGATCTTTACTCAGCTTTCATCTGATAAACGTCCTACACGTTGCTGATCCTCACTTATTGTGAGTACGCATAACCGATCCTTGCTCAGTTATTGATACATATTACTGATCCTTGCTCAGTTATTGATACCTGTTACTGATCCTCACTCATTTATTGATACCTGTTACTGATCCTTGCTCATTTATTCATACCTGTTACTGATCCTCACTCATTTATTGATACCTGTTATTGATCCTCACTCATTTATTGATACCTGTTATTGATCCTCACTCATTTATTGATACGTGTTACTGATCCTCAGTCATTTACTGATACCTGTTACTGATCGCAAATTATTGATATACAACACTGATCCTCGCTCAATTATCGATGCGTTACTGTTCCTCATTTAATCGGTACATGTTACTTACTGATCCTCGCTTATTTTTACTATATGCTACCAATCCTCTCTCAGTTAGTATATATGTTACTGATCCTCGTTCAGTTGCTCATACGTTATTCCTTCTCAATTTATGTTAAGCTGATCCTTGCTCAAGTGCTTTTACCAACATTCTCATATAACTCCTACACCTTAACCTTTGTCGTTCCTAGATCCTTAACTACCCATAATTTCCTGACCCGTAACTGACCCCGAATTTCTTACAGATAAGTGACAAATTACTCAGTTGATCCTGATACTTCACTTTATTTTCCTACAGAAATGTTTATCCTACTTAAATCGTAGCTCGTAACAGAATAGTAACGATCCTTAACGTAACTTTCAGCCTGGTAACGCTTACGTTTCACTTGCAGAATTCCAGTTTTTATTTCGACAAACTCAGCTACGTTTACACTCTCACACCGGATGTAACGTAACATCCCGTTCGCACGCGCTCCTACTGTTACTTCCTCCGGTGACGTCACCGCACGAACTTCACCCCTCGAAAACGGGTAAAGAGTCGCTCTTACTCGGATTACGAGTACGTTTAACTAACGCTTTGAGGTCGATACTGCGCGCCGTTAGAGGTTAAAACGGCGCTGCAGGCGGAAAGGAAGTTAGAAACCGGATGCCGGCCGGGGAGGAGGAAGTAGTAGTGTCAACGCTCTACGCGTACGGAGGGGGAGAGCTCAGATATGTCGTCGACCAAAGAGAGGCCAAGGTCTACTTGCAGGGGGGGTGTTTACCCTCGAACTAACCAGTCTGCGGGGTGTCAGGCGAGGAGTAACAACACTAGCATTTGGCATGCCAGCGAGATGAGAGGCGACTGCGACTACGATACCCAAAACAGCGATTTGCAGTATGGGCCCGGTATCGTGGACAGGCTCAAGTCACGTTTCATACACCTGACAATACAGAGCAACGACGACAAACCACGTTTGAAACGTAGTTGCAGTTTGGAACACCTGGTAGAGGATGGAGTGTTCCAGGCCATCGACTGCTCGAAGGGAGATAGGTCAATTGTTGGAAGAAACAGAGCGAAATATGATTTATCACCGTGCGGCAGGAACAATTTTAAAAAGGCTCCCAGTATGGAAACACTAGTCTTCAAGAGGGAACAAAGAAAGGTACCAGACCCTCGTACGATACTCGTCAACGAGAACGTCATAATTGTAGAGAAAGACGATGGAGACGGGTTGAAACGCTCTCAGGAACAGGAACCGGAAGAGCAGGGCCAGGCGGGTTATCCTAAACGCGACACTGTCAAAAATTACAAGAGGATGTTCGAACCGGCCGAAACAAAACAGTTGAACAGATGGAAACCCCCAGTCTTGCGTGCCAGTGCCAAATCTTCGTCCGCCAAGCCCAGTTACGTCAGACCGAGTGCCATAAACCACCCTAAACTGAACGGTGATGCGGGGAAGAAACAGACCAAACCGGAACAGAGCGTGGTTTTCGATTTTCGTGGCAAGAACACTAAGCCCAACGTCACGTTGCAGCCCACCCCCTTCGGTTGCAAACCGGTGCAGAAGTCTGTCAAGAAATTCTACAGGTTGTTCGACGGTAAGGAGGGACTGCCCAACGGTTGGGATGAGGGGGATGATGATGACGATGATGACGACGACGACTGCGCGGATGGAGGAGGAGGGAGAGATCTACCTCATCCTTGTGGTGTAGTGTTCGAGGGTGAGAACGTCAAGGTCGGAAGGGGTTCCTTACTTGTCAACAGGAACAAGAATGTGAGTAACAGAATTTTTGTCGTTATTTCGGGGTGGGTAGGGAAATTTTAACCAGTTAAACCGGTGGAACGGGAAGATGAAGGGTTACAAATCATCCACAGCTCGATCCCCCTCTAGAGAAAGTATTATTATTATGTTGTTTTTTTTTTCTCTTTAAATTACACTAAGTTTTTACAGCTACCCACTTGCGATTGACACGGTTACTCGAGCGTAACTTATAGGAAACTAATTTGGTTCCACACAAAAATTTTTGCATTCCCCGACTTTCGGCGGTGGAGCGTGGCGTGACGTCATCGTTTCTAATCCCGGGGTGATTTTTTTTGCTTCATTATAACGAGGTTGTTCGCGAAGGTGGTCTAGTTATAGGATAATTTGCATCCTTTCACGGGGGGTGTGTGCCCTATTAAAGGGTGCTAATTGTATTATTATAATGCCTACACCTTTACAACGCGTTTAAATCCCCCATTTTAACGAAAAAACTTCGATAAAGTCATCTTATTTTAAGTTCTTCACATGTTAAATTCACTAAATCTGCCATTTTTTGTTCGAATTAATACACATGTTTGCCCAAAAATGGCGGTTGCTATTAATTTGAACTGTTAGAAAGTCGTCTTTTTTAATTGTTTTAAATTAAAAAATTTAATAATTTAGAAAATATAGATGTATAAAAATGTATACAAACGTAGAAAATACCGTATAAATACAGATAAAAATAAATATTTACAGATTAAAGTCCATTAGAGTATAGGCCTAAATAGAACAACGTATCTCTAAGAAAATATAAAAATATGTAGCTGTATACTTTCTGCATTAAGTAAATTATACTGTAAACAGTATAAAGTTTACAGTAATTTAGTAACCTTTATTATAGGCATTTATTAAAGTTTAGTGTAATTTATAATGTATACTGTATATCAAACTTAGCAAATTATACTGTACATTATACTGTTATATTAGTAAAATCACTTTTATATGCTGTATTACAGCAGTTTCTATACACTTATACAGTAAAACAACTGTAAATTTACATGTTCTACACTCTATTCGAATGTTCAAACCCATATTTAGTATCATGAGATGTAAATTTAAGAAGTATAAGGCCTGTATGTATAACCCTATTGAATGGTACGTATACAGAAAGGCAGTATAGAAAATTGAGCAGTAAAATATCTTCGGGAATTTTTCGTAGTTATGGGTTATGATTAAGGATATTTTGTATATTGAATAGCTCTTTTACATCCTAGTTTGTACGTCTAGTATATACTGTACAGTACATCCGTTAAGTTTTATATCCCATAAATATATCATAAAGCGTACATTTTTATAATTTTATTATTCCATATATGGTTTAAGGTATGTAGCACAACCTGTTTTAGTGTCGTACGTGTATAACTTTATATTATCATATAGGATTCTTGGTTAATCTTGTTTAAAATTAATATTTATAACTCGATATAACATATCTATCTCCTTAAAACACTTGTTTAAGCCCCATAAATCAATCGTTCGATATCGCTACAATTAGATATATCCCATAGAAGTCGATTTTTATATCCGGTATACACTCCATTAATCTTATGTTATTCCAAATTTATCTTCTTATTTCATGCTTTTTTATGCTCGTATATTGTATACACTCCATAGAACACACATAAGATTTTACCTGACATTTACGTGTATTCCGTAGAATATACTTATGTTATTCCATAATAAACGTGTATAATATACATGCATAACATGGAGGCGCATACACATGTACTGTACGTGTATAAAGTACAGTACTGATACATATATATCACTGCAGAGTGGTGCGTATCTTAAACTATATACGTTTGTGTATACAGCACCTAGTATATGTTGTACAACGGAGTGTATATGAGATCAGCTATCTATCCTAAAATATATATGACATAGCTTCTATCTTGTGTTTATATCTACACATAACATAGAAGCTATGTCATATGTACAGTATGTTTCTTCCCTCGGCTAGTATTTTAAAAAAAATGCCAACAGACCACACACTAACTGATGTAAACTGGTGTCATTCAACCCTGGTTCGCCATCACCCCCGTATATCATCATGTTCTGTTAGGGAAATTTCCCTCCTCCGCCGAAATCCCTATAAGGCGTTAACAGCTGCGACATGTTCAGTCAAACGTTAATAGAGTCCTTCCCTTGACCTATCTCTCCAATGACTTTCCTGTCTGACGTTTGTTGACGTTCTACTCGTTATTGACCTCGTATACTTGACGCCTTTTATGAGTCATCACCCCCCACTTAATAACTTTCCCTATCTAAGATCGTAATTAGAATACGGGGAGAAAGTTCCCAAGTGTTGTCAGACGGACAGACATTCATACGAACTACGTTTTTCTTTTTGTTATTTTCAGTTACGAATCCATTTCAACGACGACGTCACTTGCGTACACGAGTATCCTTCCGAATTATCCCTACTGGAAAATGACAGGATAGAAACGACGAACGACACCTCGCAGTTGGGATTAACTGGTAAGAATAGGGAAAAATCCCTACTGTATTATCCCTTTCATCTGTATCTCAGTAACCCAAAAGTTGTGGTTACCGTAACAAAGTACGTTGATGTTATACAAAAAAATCCCTATAAAATCCCCGCTTGCTCAAATTAAGTATGAAATCTACCGAAATATCCTCAAATATCCCCAAAAATCTGTGACTAATACAGAATATAGGGAAACGGATTAAAAAGTACAGAGGAAAAAAATCCCTATAAACTCTGATCAATATAGATTTTAGCGTAATGTAAACGTGAACGATTATGGAAATTTACCACGGAAAATGTCCATAAATATAAAAACATTTATGGATATTTTTGTCGTCTCGCGCGACGTGACCTTGAACGCGTGCGCCGTTCCAACATGGCGGAGGTTCCTGATAATGTCAAATGAATTATAATATTACTGAATTTATATCTCATTCTTTGTCACGTGTTTCTGCAGTTTAGGCCTCTTAGAAGGAAGAGGTAGGGCCTACTACATAAAAGAGCTAATTTTAAATGGGAAAAGTTATCTTATTAGAAGAAATAAAACATTTAGAGGAATTTATTCTCAAATGGGATTCGAACCCACGATTATAGAAAGGGTGTTAAATGAAGTAATAGAGGGGAAAATATTATTCCAGTCTTGATTTTAGATTTTAACAGACATCTCTCGATAAAGAGGAAACAGAACGTTTTCCTTTTCCGTTATAGATCAGTAAGGTTTCAGGATGAAAGATATTCGTTTTGTGATTCACAGAGATCCAGATAACTTTATTTTATTATAAAACACTTGACATATGCAATCTGTGGCTCTGGAACCATGTATGGTTTTTTTATAATTCTCTACGACTATTCTTTTTTAATATATAAACAACTTTTGACACTTATAACCTTAGAAAGTAAATTTTTTTTGTCTTTTCCATATATGAATTGTCTGCCATCTTGGATTAACGCGCGCCAAACGCGACGCGACGCGATGCGAAATTTGTGTTTATTTTCGTAAAAAAAGAAAAAAACACAAGAAAATGAAGAAGGGTGTTAGCGCGTGTAACTTAAAAAATGATATGTTTACGAAATTTCTTGCACTTGACCCATAAAATTTTAATAAATCTTAATAAAATACGGCTTAAAATCCGAGTCGCGAGGGCATATCGTGAGGCCTCGCCTTCTTCTCACTACTCATCCCTAATGCTTTTGTTTTAGCTAATGCCTTTAACGAAATCGAGCCCTGAAACGTACTTAAAATCATGCAAATTAGGCAATAAAACTCCGTACAAAATGCGGAATTGAATGCAGTTTTAATTAGAACGAAGTAACCATAATTTAATAGAGTAGAAAATCTGCGAAATTAATCTGATTCACCATTCCATAAAGTAAAAATTCTTAGTAATTTGAAATGATTCATTAATTCCGAAATTACTCATACATACGCGCGCATTAAATTTTTACTTTTACTTGCTTACAGGGTTGGCAAGTTACACACCTAGCGTGTTAAAAACCGGTGAAGCATATCAGCTGGGACATCCCAGAATTACTCAAACAGAAAAAAAAGTTCCTGAAAATGAAGTAAACGAAGTCAGCGAAGAACTAAAACCGGCCGATCCCGAATCGACGACATCTTGGTCTTCGTCGGCTACAACAACGGATCTTCTATTTTGAAGCTACAAAAGAAGGAGCGGCGGGGGGGGGGAATGGGCAAAATTCCTATTTTTATGGAATTAAATCTTAATTTTTTATGTGTTTGCTGTATCTTTAAGTGTATATATAGGCTATAAAGACTGTACAATATCAAAGGGGCCAAGTGTACAGAATTTATCTCAAGTCGCCAGTCAGTCCGTGTTTATGTGCAATGTACAAACAACGAAAATAAATCGCTGATTTTTTGGATTTTTTAACGTTTATTTGGCTTAAATTACTCTGGCATGTTGTTTTTTTTTATATATTTTTTGTTTATCGTTTCGGAAATCTGTTCACGTGAACATTTGTTTGGCCGCGCTTCCCGTGTCGCAGGATATCCTTCGTGTTCCGGGAAGTTTCTGTAAAAACAAAAGCGAACCAGGCGCATCGACATTTGTATCCTCGATTATGAAAGAATGAAGAGAAATACGACGATATTTACGCAACGTGTTATTTTAAAATTTACGCCATTTTTATCGGAAATTTTTTATTTTTGGAATTCGAGTCTCGCGAAGGTTAAAACTTGCTCGTTTTAACCTTCGTTCAAGTTTTTTAAGCTTGTCAGAATGCAGAAACATTAATTATTCATTTACGCATTTTAATTACAAAGTAAGGAAAGTTTTGAGTGGTTGTTAATAAAGGAACGTGCCAAAATAAAAATAAAATGTGACGGGCGGCATAATTTGAATTTTATAAATTAAAAAAAAAAATTGAACGATGTTCGAGGCGCCTCTAGCGGGGAAATAGTTAAACGTTTGTTTTGATTGAACACGTGTTGACAGATGTTTTGATTGAGCACGTGTTGACACATATAGAGAGAATGCAAATTTTGTTAATAGTTAGGATCATTTTTACAGTTTGAAACATAATTTAATGCCCTAAACTTATTTTCAGGCACGACATGTTTCAATTTATTGTAAATATTAAAGATATTTTAACCTCATTGTGAACTTATAATGGGCCCTTCATATTCATCTGTATCATAATCTGAGCCATTATCAGTTTAAAATGGCTTATTTTATAAAAGAAGAAAGTGCCTTTAAGTAAAGAAGAATGTGTAAAAGTTACTAATGCTACAGTAATCCACAGCATCAACAACCTTAATTAACCCTGTAAGGAGGGAATTAATATTGTACATTGCATAGTTTAACTCAAGTAATATATAAAAACAATTGAAAATTTGTAGAAATTGTTTTTAATTTTGTATTGAAATGTGTGTGTTGAGTATTTACAAAGCTAGAAGCAAACATGATGCTTGTATGTATCATTTAGGAGACAGGTGGCCAATGACTCAACTATAATGTGAATTTGTTCAGTAGTAAATATAATAGATATAATATAAAATATGAAATGTAAATATATTATATATAAACAGAAACACATTAACTTATCTGGAATGTATTAATGTAACGGTGGATCCACACATTCGGTATTTGCCAATTGCTGAATAATTGTTTATTCATTCTCTTTGATTTGACACCCTACATTTACAAGGAGTGTGAAATGGTAAATATTCATTACAAATCACAGGTAAATCATCCTTGGTATCAGCCAAATGTTTGCTCAGCACTCAGCGAATACTGAATGTGTGTATCCACTTAAAGTTAATGATTGCATTATTTTGAATGTTGTTATTATTATTTACCTTGCTTTTGGATTCTAATTTGAACAAAATGTCTAGATCTCATGTTAATATAACATTGTATATTCTCCATTTACAAGTACTCTGTAATGCTTTTGAGTCTATGCTCATCATCTATTCATTAGATGATGAGCATAGACTCAAAAGCATTACACTTGAATAGACCAAATACACTTGCAATAGTGACTGTATTCATTTAATTCACGTATCTCTGAAGATGATTGTAGGCTCAAACACTAGATTTACAGTCAAAGCTTGATTTAGTGCTACCATTTGCAACTGTACATAAATTGAAGATGTCACTGGAATGAACAAACACAAACAATGAGAATTATGTTTAGTAATGAGTTTTACTGAGGAATTTAACTTTGATTTGGTAATAACAATAACATTGGTAGATGTATTCACAACATTCATTAGTGCTTTACAAGAATGATGCTATGTATGTGAGGGTATAGCTAGACAAGCTATATTAGGAGTGGTTTTAACAAATGGTGATGACCTTATCAGGGATACATGGGTTATGGAGTACTCCAAGGAAATAACCAATTATGATCTATGTTTGGACTGTACTTTAAAGTTAAAAGGTAAATTACACAAGTTTTTATGTCTTATTTAAATAATAACACAAAATACAACATAATTAATTGCATATATTTTTTCAAAATAATGATTTTCAGAATAGTCTCTTTTAGAGGTGTGACTTTATCACCTGATACATATCTTTTTGTAAAATAATTAAAGGTTTTTGCTGTCAGTGCCAGTTTATTTGAAAGAAAGAAAGACTTTAGTCATCAAAGTCTTTCTTTCTCTGTCTTCTACTTGTAAAAATACATTCCTTTATAGTGTGGGACTATTCTGTCTTTGAAAGTTCTCAAAGAGAGCAACTCATCTGAAAACAGAAAAGTTGATAGTGGAGTTTATGCATACAGAAGTGCATCCTGACCCTTAAAACCTCACACAAGTAGTGTTTATGTTGGAATTGCTTTAGTGCTCAACTTGCCCTAAACTGCTTTACATCTTGCTTTGTATAATAATTCTATTAAGTATACAACAAAGTGGAATATAATATTAACAGAAAATGTTTTGATGCGGCATTGCAACAAATCACTTGACGAGTGCCCATGAAATATATAAACAGAAATGTATTTTTTTCTTAGTGCATCGAATGTAATTGTTTTAAAGTCTTGATTGTCAAAGATTGTGTTGATTGACACATGTCGGCATATTGCAGGTTATGCGTTGACCTTAATTTTATTGATTAAAGATGGATTTGCTAATGGGTTTATCATTCGACAGTAGGAGCAGACAGGCGGTGAGGAATGGTGATTCGATATATCCAAACGGACTACCCGGAAAAATTCCTGGGGTTTCCGACCCGTCCAGTTTCGATTCCGGGTCCTCCTGAGCGGTAACTTCCATCTTGGCTGCTCGGCCATTCCACCGTGGCAAATTCTATACTGTAATAAGTAAAAAATCATTGGTAGGTTTCTTTAAACGCCTTGCGGCAACCGGTCCCTCTTCTATAAGTATCATGGGTTCGTTTAAGCCTGTGGTGGCACTCGGGATCGGGAAAGCCGCTCTTCAAGAGTTTTTCGTGAAGCCGGATTAAATTGATTCCTCCCCTCACAGTGGCGCGTTATAGCTTCATGTGGCTCACTAGTCAGGCAAATTTGAATTAAGAGTCCTTTGTACAGTGTTGACTTCAGGTATTATTCTTCGGAAGAATTTTTTGAGAAATATTTTCTTATAAAATTTTGGTTTCGGGCGTTAGGCAATTACTCCGTTTACCCATAAGATAACGCGCTAGTGATCCCTAATTTCTAATGGCTGAAATTAATTAATTAATTATTTATTTTATTTATTTTTTATTATTTTTATTTATTTA